TTCCAATCTTTCTGACTTACATCTCCCCAGACAAGAGCCTCCACACCAATTCAACCTTCTCTTCAAACCTCCGGAATCTCTCCATGTGTTCGTCCTGTTTTGCCTTTGGGAGCTTCTCGAGATCCTGTTGCAACTGGCTTGCTAAAGGTGATTCCTCCCAATGCCTCCGCTCATGCACATGCACGACAGGGCAAAAAAAGCAAACAAGAAGCTTTCCAGCGGTATTTTTTCTTCCCAGCCTTTGACTCAAGGTCAGTAATCAGACAGGTCATGTCTACATGTGTTAATGGCAGTCCATCATGTTCCAGTCTTTGCGCAATGCGCCAAACAATGGCCTCGAGAACGATTCCTTTCGGCCTTGGCTGGAAGAATTGTTTAACTCCAAGTATTGCCATTTTAGCAGCAGGTGCTTTCATAATGAACTCCTCGATGCCTTGACAAGTCTGAAGGAAATTATCTCCTCCGCGGAGACTTGGAAACTCTTCCGCACGTGGTCGGAAAAGGACGAGGTCAACAAGAGTATTCCGCCACTTGAACTTGATGGCAACATAGCCGACTGTGACAGGTCCTTGGACTTGCTGCAGCTTTTCCAAATTTCGTGCCACCTTGTGTTTGTCGGTCTCTGTGAATGGTTCATCTGCCCACTCACTACCAGGCAGCCTCCGGACGTGAATGTCCAGGTCGGAATTTGCAGGTGATGCTGTCTGTCTTGAGAAGGACCCTACAAGGTGAAGTTCAATGTCGGTGCCCAAAGCATGGTAGCATGCCTGAGACAGCGGTCCGGTTGCAGCACCGTCCACAAGCCTGTCTGCTGCCTGCCTGCAGCCATCCATAGTGAGGAAGAATCCCCGAGCAGCACGCCCCAGGTTCCTCTCCAAAACCTGATCTCGAACAACTTTGGGATACCGACACCACCTTTGATGAGCTGCCACCATAAGCTCCATCACTTGATCTCGAGCAACTTTGGGATGCTGACACCGCCTTCGATGAGCTGCCATCATATACTCCATCGCTTCGGGATCCAAGCCAGGGCGATCTAGCAGCAAAGACCAAGACCCACTCGAGCTGGGTGGTCCTTTGGCTTTGCTGCTAGATCGCCCTGGCTTGGGCAAGAAGAAAGACAACCAAACGGTTGCGCCCTCGTGTCTTCCAGCCCATGGCTTGGCGTGCTGACGACCGCTGCAGAGGCCAAACTCTGGAAATCTGAGGCATGATGGAAGCCGATACGCATCTCGTGAATGTGTTTCTTGAATGCCCTGGGTCTGCAACATCGTCAAGCCTGAATTGACGGGGCTTTGGATCAGATCCAAAACTAGAAGTCCAGCTGGGGACTTAACATTGCAGAAAGGACACTTCTGTTGTTTTTCTGGTTGTTCACCAGCACAGGGCACAGGCTTTTGACACTGCTTTCGAGCCACGGCCATGTAGCCATAGATGCTGTAGAGGATTTGAGTTATATTTGCTATATTGATCTACAGCAATGCTGCTTGCGGATGAAAGGCGCTTGAGCCTGGAAGATCCCAGTGCCCATAGCATTTTGAGAAGGAAGGGGTTTAGCCGGAGTGGGTCAAAATCAAAACTGCCAACCAACGAAAGTGGAAGAATTATCGATGTTTGGCCAATTCACCAAATTACAGAAGTTTGAAAACCCATGGATTGCCCGCGCATGATCTTACTTTGGAGGCCGTCAGTTCTTCCCCTAAACCCATTCAACCCCGCACACCCCCTCTTTTAGAGAAGCCCTAGATAACCCGTTAGATGGCTGTTGTATGGGTGGTTGTCAAAAATATGGTCCCTTGTTGGGTACCCTAAATACTAGGTGCCGTATTATAATAAGGACCCAACAAAGGGACCCTAATTTTGACAACTACCCGTACCCGGGGCCCCAACTGAGGACAAGCGTAACCTGGCGTTCCACTGATCTGGTCGCAGGTCATGTTCAGCTTGTTCTGCGAGATGGCGAAGACATGATCTCAGCTTGGGTTTCAGGAATAGGATTTATTGTTTAACTACAGGACCTGTGGGGTAGGTCTAGATTTGAAAAATTATCCTGTTCATGGCGCTTCGGTCTTGGCAGGACCGAAGACTTTGGGGGGCCCATCCACTGACTGCTTTCAGCTCAGCAGTGTATACAAGATAAGACTTTTCTCGAGCGGAGCACAGTCGTACAGGCCAACGTCTCTACACAACGAATCTCAAGAAGATGCATCATAGGTTGTTGGCTTCTATCGTTCCAGGGCAGCATGAACAAGGTCTCCTTCTGCTTCGCGATGCCGGACAAGCCGAAGTCTGCCATCTTCGCCGTCCCGCTTCTGAGCAAGCAAGTTTCTGGGATTTTTCCTTCTTGCTGTCACTGAAGTGTCATCAGTGATGCGGAAATCGAAGTGGTGACAGCACCACTGGTCATGACGTTTATTGGTCGGGGGGCTTGCCGGCAGGCAGTTACTGCAGCAGACAGCTACTGCTGTGTTGGGCACCAGTGGCAGCAATAGTTGCAGCAGAAGAGCTGCGGCAGTAGCAGCCGGAGCAGGAGCAGCAGCAGGAAGCGACCCACGTGTACGATTTTGCACGGGCAGATTCTGGGGACTTTCTGGGAGCAAGTGCTTTCTTGCCCTGAGGCACCTGTCCAGCAGGATGTTGGCAGATTTGATGTCGCGGTGGAAAGCCTGCAACTGCAAAGCGCGCCCGACACCTAAACCCTATACCATGTCTCATGTTGGCTCACGGCCTAGTCCTGAATGTGCCGTACTGTGATTGAAGGGATGGGCTGGGAACCGAGTCTGGGTCTGCTTTCACTTCCTTGGGGCTTAGAGCGCCCACGGCTTCAGAGCAGGATTTAGGATTTGAGGTTTACTGCTGTTGGATCAAGAGGTTTGGGGTTTAAGCTTAGGGGGTTTGCAGCTTCAATTCTTCAGGATTTAGGTTGTGGTGCCGGCGAGTTCAAGCTTCCTTTTTGTTTTGGAAGCTTCAGGGTCCAAGGTTTACGGCTAGGACGCTAAGGCCTTGGAACCGAGGGCTTCTCGACACTAGAGCTCCTTTGTTTTTGAGAAACCCGACAGTCAGGATCCTACGATACAGAGTGATGGGCCTATGTGTCCGGTATTTGCTGAAACTACCTCCCTGAACCCTGAGCCTTAAAGCCCTCAAGCCTTGCCCTCGAACCCCGAACATTGGCATAAAGGACGAGGCTCTACCCGCTCAATGCCAAGCCCCACATCGCCCAGCTTTCGACCAGAAAATGCCATTAGTCTTTAGAGCCTACTAACCTCAGTGGGAAACACGCTGCTCAACCAGACTCTAAGTCAACCCAAAGCTGGAAAGCCCCTCGAACGAAACACTCCCGAGGCCACAAACCCAAGCATGCTCAACCATGGGCCCAAACCACAGCAAACCCCCATGGAAACCCCGTAAAAAGGCACCTTACGAAGGGCTAAGACGGGGGGCCCCGACGCTGAACCAGTAAGCCGAGGCCGCCCCCATAGTATTTTAGACAACACCAAGAAGCCCTGGAGCCCACATCCCCCCCCACCCAAGAGCCAGGGCATCTTCAGCCCTGCGACCTGGTCCCAAGGAAACTTCAACCCTCGACCCCAAAGAATCTGAAGCTCCTGCCTTGGGGGTGGAGTTGTGCATGTGGGATAGCCCACACGCTGCATCTAAGGCCACCCACAGCCTTACTTCTGCCAGGTTTGCAGAACAAAACGGATATGTATGCATAGATATATTATTTATATATATATATATATATATATACACGATTATACACGATTATAGGCAGATAGATACAGGTACTACCGGAGGAGCTCAAAAGGGTTTAAGGGTTTTGGAGTTTTTGGCTTAGGAGGACTTCTGGTAGAGGCTTCCATGTACTGTAAATGGCTGAAGGATCTTGACGTTGGGCCTTCACCAGATCTTTCTCGGGGTTTTCTGAGTTCCGAGTCTACAGTACACTCAATACACCCTCAACATCAGAACCTCGGCCGTTCACTCATCATTCCCGGGTCGGGAGAGCAGCACATGTCATAAACGCTTTACTCGACAAGCCCTACTAGTGGAGAAGAGCAGACAACCAAGCACCCGAGACCACAGAGGCGCGACGTGATGGGCGTGAGCCCCAAATCCAATGCCGACGCAGCAAGGAGAAGAGGAACAAGCGGAGGCTAGCTCTCCTGCGAGGGACCGGTTGGGGCTTTGAGATCAGGCACACATCTTACTCATCGTAGCCTTTCAAAGAAGCCAAAGAGCAGAGAAAAAAGAATGACAGCCCGTACTCGACCCTGGGACGAGCTTGACATGGGCAACTAGCGATCGAAAAGGAGAGAAGCAAGGCTTCAAGGCAAGGCCTCCAGAATCAAAACAGGCACTGAAGTAAAAAAGCCTCGAAACATGCTCGAACAGCTACCATGTGTCCATTATGTCATTAAAAAACCATGCACCTTATACCAGATTTTTGTTCTCGGTGTTCTTCCTACTGCTCACTACTCGGGCTGTCGGTCTTTTTCGCCAGCTCTCGTGCGCACGCACCTGGGTATGGTAGGTAGAGCCTGCTGGAGCAGGCCGAATTGGAGATGGGAGTTGAAAAAAGCAGTGGTGTGCTTGGAGCAGTTGTCTTAGGGCTTCCTCAAAACCTGCATACCTCAGGCCCTCAACCCCAAAGCCTGAAACTGGAAGTTCGGGGGCGTTTTGGCTGGGAGATAAGATGAAGCTGCCAAGCGCATACCCCCGCACCAACTCCTGCAACAAAAGCCACCTGCATTTCGCGGCGGAGTTACAGATCTGTCTGCCCATGGCCCCTTTTGGCGGGCTCAAGGAGCGGCGTCCACACTTTGAGTGACAGGCACGCTCCGAGCTCCCTGTACTTCGGGCTTAGGGCATAGGCCTTAGGATTCAAACTGTAAGGGCTTGGAGATTAGGCTCCGGATTTGGAGAGGTTAGTCTTTTTAGAGTTTTACAGTTTAGGGTTTAGGGTTAAGGGTTCGAGTCCGGATCCCAGGCCTCGGCTAAAGCCTCGGGGCTTCGGAATCGGTCTGGCCGTACTGTAAGGCCACCGACCGGCCCCTGAAGAGGCGCTGCGCGAGGTATATGCAACCAATCGGCCCACCGAGCCTTGGCTATGACAAAGAAAGCGGCACCTTGGGCCCTAAACTCCCTTATACCGTGATGTACTATGTTGTATTGTAGTCTTGAATGAATATATAAATATACATATATATATATATTTATTTATTTATTTGTTTATTTATATAAATATCTGTATTTATACGTATACTTAAATTTATGTGTGTATATCTTAAATACGGTATATATTTATTCAAATATACTGTAATCTAACCCCCTAACTCTACCTAAAGCAACCAAGGTATCTTAAAACACGCCCACGTACCAATTTTGGGGGATGCACATCCCTTGTCTTTAAAGTACATAGGGCCTGAATGGTGAGAAAAGGGTTGATGAGGGGGGTATATTGTGACTAGATGTATCATGGGGATCACAAGGGGATACCATCTCTTCCTTCCGCACTCGCAGTGACTCCAGCGCACGCGCATTCTGCTATCTCCCTCGCTCCCTCCGCGTGTAAACACAAGGACAAACGAATCTATATCATGTGTTGACATATGTCTCTCTGTTTATCTGTCGGTCTGCCTTCTGCCCCTGAACCCCCAGATCCTAAACCCATAGATCCTGAACCGCCAGAGTGTCAGTCCCAACTAAACCCTAAACCCTAAATCCCACCACCCTAAACCCTAGATCCTACTACCCTAAACCCCAAATCCCAAGCCCCAAACCTTAAATCAAAAATCCTCAGCCCCTACACCCTGAATCCTAAATCCTACTACCCTGACGCTGGACTCCGGCCACCAGGCGACGTGATGTAGGGTACGGCCCAAAACAACGAACTGGGACAGGGCTCCGTGGCGAAGATCATCCTTCGGTAGTTTAGGGTTTTGGGCTTGGGGTTTAGGGTTTAAAAGAGGCGGGGTCTGAGATCGGGAAACTGTTGTAACTGTTGTTTCGGGGGAGAATTATTTAGGGGTAAGGGTTTTGGGGTTTATGGTTTAGGGTTTGGGGGTTTAGGGGTTTAGGGGTCTGGGGTTTAGGGGTCAGGGGTTTAGGGCTTCATGCTTGAGGCATGGCCTGAGCTTTGAAACCTTGTATTCGGGGGTTGGGGTTTAGGGATTCGGGATTATGAGGTTCCGAGTATATGAGGTGGCGCTTCCGGGCGGACTATCGGGTTCAGGGCTCGCGGCGTTAGGGCTTCGGCTCTAAGATTTGGTGCGCCGAAGCGGTTTTGCCTTACTGCTTGTCTAGCCGGGAAACCCCAGGAGGCAGAGAACCACCGTGTAGATGTCGAAGACGGTCGTGAGGAGCCACTCAGATGCCCATTCAGCATCCTGGCCGGGCCCCGGGTGGGTCAAAGTTCGGGGTTCCAGCCGACACCCTTCGCTTTAAACTTCTAGGGTTTGGGGCTTTGGGCCCTTATCCTTGAAAATTGAAGACCTTCAGTGCTAAACACTGAATCCTAGAACTTGGGTACTGCCCCCACCCGGTTACACAGTGACGGCGGTACCCGACCTAGAAAGCTCGATCCTGCCCCTTAAGGTAACTTGTAGTGGCTCTATACCGTCCCTCGCACCCTCCGCAACTTTGGGAGGGTCCTGATCCGGTGTGCGGTTTAAAGCCGAGGCTTTAGAGCTTCTGTCTTCAGGTTCAGGAATTTAGGGTTTGGGGCCCGGGTTTTCGGGTTTGGGGTTGAGGTGTGAGAGGTAGTAGATTTTAGACCCCAAGCGTGCTGAAGATCACGAGGATGACAACGTTTGCCGGCATGGCAACAGTCGACTTGAAGTGACCCTAAGGCTTGAGCTCGGTTACCTAGTGACATAGGTGAGCATACCTATAGCTACCGTAATCCAAAACCTACGAATATGAACCTTGATCATATTGTCGGTACCAAAAGAAGTTTTGCTATAGTCACACTGTCGGTAAAACTAGCAACAAGTTCACTGAGATAATAATAATAATAATACTAATACTAATACTAATAATAATAAAAATAATATTAATAATAATAATAATAATAATAATAATAACAACTCAGTAGTAATAGTAGTTCACTGGTCCCCTGTGGCTTCTCGATTTCAGGCCCGCGTTGAGCTTCAGGGGGACGAAACTTTGGAGCTCACGGCGTTGGCTCCGACAGGGCTTTTCGCCGGCGGCGCGGGGGGATTCCTGTAGACTTTCTTGGGTTTGGGGGCTTAGGGCTTAGGTCCTTTGGGTGAGGGTTTAAGCTTGTTTTCAGCATGGTACGATTCTGAGGGCTTAAAGTTTTAGAGCCTAAGGTGAGAAGTTTCCCGATGAGAGTCGGCTTGGAGAGGCCAATCCAGCCCTCCCAGGCCATGCATTTTGGGGGTGTCAGGGGTGTAACTCAGTCGCCCAAAAAAGGCCTGAGATGATCCATAACCCCTACGTAGAGCCTAAACCCTACAACCCTAAACCCTGAAGCCTAAAACCCTAAACCCTAAACCCCCAGCTCGCCTCCGTCTGAAGCGGCACCAGGGGGTAGGTGAAGAGCGTCCAGCCAAGCCGAGTCGCGAAGGCGATCCCGACCACGGCGTAAAGGACCACCAGAAGCCTGGGCTGGGGTTTCAGGGTTTGGGGTTTAGCGCTTTAGGGTCTGGGGTTTAGGGCTGTAGAGTTTAGCGCTTCAGGGTTTAGGATGTAGTGCTTTAGGGTTTAGGGTTTACGGCCTCAGGATTTAGGATTTAGGGTGTGCATAGGGGGTTTCGGGTTTAGGGTTTGGCTGCAGCTCGAGTTCATTTGGGTTTAGAAGTCATATAGGGTGTAGGGCTAAGGCACTTGAAGAGGAACCTTGTAAAGTTTAAGGTTTAGGGTTGCAGTAAAGTCATCTAACAACTAGAAGCATATGGTTGTAGGGACGATTTCATACTGGGGTGTCAGAGTCTTGGAAGCTTTCGGGCTTAAATCCTGAACTCCAAATCCCAAACCCAGAACCCCAAACCCAAAGCCCTGAGACCTAAACGTTTTCATTTAAGATAGTCTGTAAGATACTGAAATGTACTATAATATACTGTAAGATATACCTTATAATATATTACAGTATATACCATAACGGATCGGAAACATATTGGTTTCAAGGGGAGTTGGAGCTCCGAGTCTGGAGTGCCAAGGCAGATAGTTGAAGAGTTTGGCGGAGTTTAGAGGGTGGCATTTTTCAGCTGAATATCGGGGCCAAAACAACTACCAGACAACTACCACCCTAAAACCCTATTCCAACTTCTGAGGCCCTTACATTAGGGTTGCGGGCGTGGGGGTTGAAGTGCGTTGCCGCTCAGTTTTCCAAGGCACGAGGCGCCCCCGGGCCTCTGAAAAAATCGGGAAGCGAACGTTCTGTCACAAGCACAATCTCACTCAAACTTGCCAACACTTCAGCCACCAAACGCAGCAACAGATCTTTGCCCAAGAACTACCAAAACAACTCGACGAAATAGGAGAAGCTCGATAAACTCTTTCATGCCCCTCATAACAAGACTCAAACAGAAACCCTGAAAACAGATGCTTTAAACAGCCTCTAAAGCCCTACAAAGTAAGAAAAACCATAAAAACTGACGAACCCGAAGACCCTAAATCCTGAGCCTGCTCGTGTTTGGGGTTTAGGCTTCTTAGAGCAGCTTACCCCAAATAGCGCCCTCTAAGGGACCCGGTAACCAAGGGTGCGCTTTAAGAACTATAAAGGCTTTGAGGCTTCAGGACTTACGACAGAAGGGCCTAAATGCTTGTATGAGGTTTGTTTTGGGGGGACGAGATTTACACCACCTATATATTCGCAATCTCTAAAGTTAAAGGATCATGCTCGTAACATCATTCTTCCTTAAACCCTAAACCCCGAAATTAAGGCGGCGGAGGCGCGTGCTGGTTGAGGCCGGCAACCTCTTCTCCTGCGAGCTCTGTGGCAGCAACCAGTCCGCGTAGGCACAAAAAATGCTCTACAGCGGGTTTCGGTTGTAGGGGGCCAGAAGAATTACAATGTAGAGTACCTAGGGTTTGGAGATATGTTAAGAACTAACTATAGTAGGGCCTACAAGGAAATGATATGACTAATCCTTTGAGCTTCTCTCTCAAAGTTCCAGCAGCGCTTGCGGCTGGGGGTTTTGGGGATGTGCGGGCCCAGGGGACTCTCGGGGATCTTGAGGCTCCTGAAGTTCAGGGCCAAACCCCCAAAACCCTAAACCCCTAGAACCCCTAGAACCCTAAACCCTCAAACCCTGAACTCTGAACCCTGAACCCCAAAAATAAAAATGAACACCCCCAAAGCCTGGAAATCTGAACCCTAAAAGCCCTTGAACACCCTGAACCCTGAAAACTCAAACCCAAAAACCCTAAAAAAAAACCCTGAAAACCCTGAAACCCTGAACCGTGGCTTTTTGCAGGGCCTGGGTCTCTTCGGCCCTCCCAGCCTTTCCTTTCTTATGCCCAAGCATCTTGGGCGAAGAATTCAGGATCTCTGACGGGTCTTCGCTTCAGGGTTTAGGGTTTAGGGTTTAAGGTTTAGGGTTTAAGGTTTAGGGTTTAGAGTTTAGGGTTTTGGGTTTGAGTATGGATGATGTTCGTCCGTAAGTGGGCAAATGCTAGTTAAGAAAACACCATGGTGATACTGCCAGAACGACCAAAAACTTAGAGCAACCTTCCTTCGTTTTTCCAGCATGGACCCCCCGGACTTAAAGCATGCTGTACTTCAGAGGTCCCTTGAAGATGAGCCGGAAACCGTAAACCCCAAACCCTTCTGGTGCCTGACTGGGCGGGGTGTCCACTGCCGCATACCAAAAGTCTCGAAAGCGCAAGCTACCCGTGCCTGAGGTCCGGGATTCAGAAGTTTAGGGTTTAGGATGGGGTCAGGGTTTGGGATTTCGGGTGCACCCGAAACCGGAAAGACATTTTCGGATCTTGGGCTTCTCCCGAGTCTCGTCTCAAAAGAAACCGGGTTTAGTGCCGCGGCGCTCGGAGAGCTGACTGGGTCAAATCAAACTTGGCAACAAGCTTGCCAACAACGATGTCAATCGGACGCTGTGCGAGCATTTTGCCAACAACACAACCACGACGACGACGGCATCATCGTTCTTCCCGGGCCGCATGATATGATATGATCATCGTGTTCGACATCAGGAGCATCATCATCATCATCAGCATGACGGAACCATTCAGGTAGGGGAGTTTAGGCTTTAGGGTTTGGGATCCAGGATTTAGGATTTAGGGTTTGAAAGCTTTAGGAGTTTAGGTTTCAGGCCTTTCTTCGAAGACTTTGGGGCTTCAAGGGGAGCTAAATGCGACTGCAGCGCTGAGGCTTCAGCCTCTCACACTTAGGACTCATACCTTCAGAGCTTCCCTAGGTTTAGGCTTTAGGGTTGGTTGGGATCTGGGGTTGAGGCTTTGGGGTTTAGGATCTTAGGGTGTGGGGTTTAGGCTTTAGGGTTTGGGTTTTACTTTAGAGAGCCCAAAGTCTTTCTTGGCCCAGCCACGGTAGATGTGCAAGGCCGTGTACGCGCATGCGAAGGGGGCGCCGAGGATGAGGGTCAGCAAAGACCAAACCGTGCCCATGCGAGGGCCCTGACGTCAGGGGACGTCTCGAGCGAACACGAACAACAAAAACTCGGCAGCCGCAGGTGGTTTATGTTGCTGTCATGAGAGAAACCGTGAGCAGCAAGCATAAGGCATAGCTAGCACTATGCCAGAACCACACCACAAGCAAGTGCCAGCAAGGAGAGTGAATGTGAACAGCAGAATGAATGTCAACATACATTAATGAATGTCAACAAACAACAAAAGGGCAGCAGCCTCCGCAAGAGCAAAAACCGCAATAGGAGCGGACCAGTGGCTCCAGTGCAAACACCCAAAATCATGATCATAACCATCACCATCACCAGGTCACCATGACCATCAACGTCAAGAGACAGAGACAGAAGTCCTCCAATCTCCAACCAAAGTAGAGGACTTTCTGTATAATCAGCCCCTTTCCTGTGTGAGGCGAGAAGACACCGAAGCTTCCTTTGCTTCAGGCATCTCTTGGTCGCACCTTTTTGACACTTTGCGGAGGGTATGGCCATGCCTGTTCACGATCTCTGGCCGTAACTTCCCTCACAGGTCAGAGAGAGTTGGGAGTTTCCGAAAATAGGGGTACCTTATTTGGGGGTCCTCATAATAAGGATCCTACTATTTAGGGTACTATATTAGGGTCCCCTATGTCATGCAGCAGCTTCGGGGAGACCCTGGACCTTCCCTTCATGAGGCCAAAGCCGGCCTCAGTGGCAACCGCCACCGCACAGAAGCAACTCGCAGCCACATAGTAGTCCACCACCTAAACCACCGCGCATAGAACACAAAGTTGGAATCAGGTCAAGGGGCGCAGGATATATGTTACTGATGATGATCATGGTGTGATCTGATGACGAAGATGAATATGATGAAACCTTATGAATATGAATGAATTGCGACATCTGTCTCCTATTGTCACGCATGACGCATACGAGACGCTAGCAATACCATTAACAAGAAGCAAAATGGTGCCGGGCTTTGAGCCATGAACGAACCCTGTTGCTGCTTGTGCGAATATCCTATAACTACGGTATAGAGTTTCGGGTTTGGGGTTTAGCCCATAACTACAAAATGCTTCCTCTTGCTGCAACTCTTCCTGTTGTGATGCCAAGACGGGCGCTACTCCGCATCCTTCAGCTGCATGATCCAAAACCCCGATCAAGCACAAAAGCCAGAAACCATACAATCTGTTAGCTCTGCTGCTATACCGCCAGCGCTAGTGCTACTGCTACTGCATGCTACTGCTGTGCTGCTACTGCTACTGCTACTGCTACTGCTGCAGCTACCTCGACGACACAGCGCCACCCACACTACTGCCACCTCAACTCCCACTGCTGCTAGTGGTGCTGCTGCTGCTGCTGCTGCTGCTGCTACTACTACTACTACTACTACTACTGCTACTACTACTACTACTACTACACATGTACTCCAATTGCCAAAACTACTCCTACTTCCTCCAATCCCACTTCCCAAAGCTGCGATTCGATGCAGAACAAGCCACAGCAGTCAGAAGCCACGTCGACGACCACTCCGCATCGTCCGGCTGAATGGGGAAAAGCCTCAGAGCAAGGCTTAGGGTGTAGAGTTTAGGATTCAGGGATTAAGGCTTTAGGGGTCTGACGCCGAAGTCCAGGGCCCCGGCCAAATCCTGGCTCCCGCAAGAACCCCGAAGATCTGCAAACTCCTTCTGCCGACAATCCCTCCCCCCTTTACGGAGCCAGGAGCTGGATATGCTATCAGGGTCCGGATCAACAGTGCAGAGAACGCCACGCCAACGACTGTAAGGAAGGCACCGAGGGATTTCGCCTGACCTTACGACAGCACAGTACTGCCAGGCGAGAACCACAATCGGGTTCCGAATCAGCTGCTGCTGCTTCTACTACTACCACCACTCGTCCTCCTCCTCCTACTGCTGCTCCTGCTGCTGCTGTTGTTGAAGCTGCTACTGCTACTGCCACTGCCAGTGCCACTGCACTGCCACCACCACCGCTACTTTTCCCTTCTGTCTACCGGAGCACACTGCACATCCACAGACACTTCCGTCTAATCGGGCCTTAGTCGAGTATACCTTGACCCAAAACAGAACACGCCTACCCAAACCTGCACGGCCAGGGAAGTTAACTCGACAAGCAGAGGGCAAATTCTGTGTTTATCAAAAAACTGGCGGGAACCCTGAACTCTGAACCCTGAGCCAACCAACCTAAACGGAAACTCAAAAAACTCCTCCTTGTTGAAGCCGTCACTGTCAAACGCTGAACCCTGAACCAACAGCCCTGTACCAAAAATTCCAAACCCACTAGTTAAATCCGTGACCCGTAACCCAACAAAAACCACCGAAAGACTCTTGAAACCCCCAAGCGCCCAGGCCTTCTTTTCTCTCTCTATGAGCCTCTTAGAGCCGAGTTGGATCCCTGGCGACACCCTCAAACCCCAAACAAACACCCTGACCCCCAAAGACCTGGGTTCGTGCTGAGGAACTGAAGTTCTAGTTTCCATATGAAGGAAAGCCTACTCGTTATTGTAGATCCCTACTATGGGAACTGAAACTAGACTCCTGAAACGGCAACCCGCAAGCTCCAACTGTGCAATCGTAAACCCTTACTCACGTCATAGCGACCCCTTATAGTAACCCCTGTAGTAAACCCTCATAACAACCCGTACAGGCCGACCCTTTGTAGGAACCCTTACAGGAACCCCGCACAGCCCCTTCACACAAGGCTCCACTCTGGCCAAGGCACAGTCCGCCTTGGACTCATCGGCTGCCATGGTCGACGTCAAAGCTTCGCTGCGAGGCCCCGGGTCTCTTCAAAGGGTCTCTTTTTGCTGACTTTCATGTTAAGTACGAATACGAAGATGAATAGTAGAATGTTACTTGGTACTATAGGGAGACATTGGTCTTAAATCTTAAAGTTAGTGGCAATAGCAAAATTAGTACTAAGAGTGCCATCACTACTGTTACGATTGCTAATGCCATGCCCATTACAATTGCTATTGCTGTTGCCGGCACGAATGCTACTTACTCTGGCGTTTACAACTACTAACATTAGCACTATTAGCTCTAGGCGTTCTACGGGTTTTATTGCGCTGGTTACAGGTCAACTTGGGAGTAGTTCTTCTGTTGCTTCATCGGATTCTGTATGTTCTTTGGTTTACGTCTTGAGCCTCGCGACGTGGATTCAGGTTTAGGGTTCAGGGTTTAGGATTCGGAGATTAGGATTTAGGATTGGGGGGTTAGCTGTGTGCTTTGGAGGGACCCAGAGAGCCCAATACCCCTTGATTAAGGAATATACCTTAAACTATAAGGGGGTTCATATTATGGTTCAAGCTAAATTCCTTAATTAAGGGGTATGGGGCTCTCTGGGGATAGCTAAGACGGCTAAGAAGAAGACTAGATCCGAAACTTTCGACCTCGATGGACCCTGGGCTCCTACTTGGAGGTTCATGGGTAGTTATAAGTGGGGTTATAAGTAGGGTTCCTTTAAAGGGATCTATAGGGTTATAGGGTTTAGGGATTAGGGTTTAGGGTAGTTATAAGTGGGGTTATAAGTATGCTAACTATCATTATAACCCACATTAGGGGACTTTGAACTCCACTTATAGCTGCCCATGAACCTCCAAGTAGACCATCTGCCCAAAACCCCAAACCTTGGCAGAGCGTGAAGCGACCTCAACGACTTTTTGAAAGAGGACGTTCAAGGCATCGAAGCCCATATCCGGTGTCTTGCATCCCTCAGCTCTTACTTGTTTGTATGCATTTGAAAGGACCTACTGGCGTTGCTCCGTTCGATCCAACCGAATGGCGTGAAGCTTCAAGAGGTTGTCTAGTGCAGAACTGGAACATGCTATGACCTCAAAGAAGCTCCACTCTTCCTGCTCTCTCCTGGTCTTGCCTCGCTCCCATCCGGTTTTGCAGCTCTGGGGCTTCGCTGTAAGCCTAAACCCTAAACCCTAAAGTCTGAGCAAGCGGCCGCTCGACCCAGCTGAATGCCTGGGTGATGCGAGGGGCCTCGGCATCGCAGAGGTTAGGGCTCCGACTGTCTGGCACTGGGCCTTCAAGGCTCTCTGCTGAGATCAAGGGGCTGCATACTACTTTACATGATAGCCCGCAACCTGGAATCCTATAGGGTTTAGGGCTTGCCCATAAGCCCATTATCCTGGCCACATTAGCCCCGCACTTGGCCCTGTACCCTCAACCCTCAAACCCCGAAGCCAAATATCACAACAACTCCTGAGGCAAGCCTTGTAACTTATACTAACCACCCGGAGGAGCCGAGCTAAGCTCCCCGACACGACACTTGGCGAGGCGTCCGGCGACGTCGCCGCCTTCCAGAAGCTCGTACCTTTGCCATGGGGTTCAAGGTTTTTATGAGGGATTCCGAGCTTATGATTAGGGCTGGTTGTGGGTTTGGGTTTCGAGAGAGGGTCCAGGGCTTGGGGCCTGGAACCTTGAGTACATCCTCGAGTCGTCCTTGAGTACATTCATCGGGGCTTTCCTCGAGAAAGTCTCTTGAAACGAGAGTTTACGCATGCAGGAACCCCGTCCAAAGAGCCGCCACACGTGCCTTGGCTTGCTGTATTCTGTGCTAGTATTACTCACTGCAGCACTGCCCCGCGAGAAGGTCGAGTTGTAGGTGCACAGCGCACAGCCTTTATCGTGAAGCCCCTGACCCCTGAGCATGTTCTCACGCTTACGCCGCTTAGCCAACTTGTGCCCCTGGCCAGCTCGCAGGCACCATCTATGGCAAAAAAGGACAATATCATAATAGCAAAGATCCTAATTTCAATTATAGTTTTAATACTTGTAATAATACGATGATACCTAACAGAGCCAGAGACACACCTCAAACCGGTACTTCTGTTGGTGATGGCCTCAATCCCTCAAACACAGGCAAAGCATCAGCAAACACTGCGCATGCACGCACGCTAAGCCAGAGAGAGACAGAGAGAGAACGAGATGTATCTATGTGTGCCTACATTCATGTACATCTACAAACCCACATGCCCCT